CAAACCGCCCCTCACACGCACAAGTCAACCAACACAAGCCAGCTGGCGCAAGGCCTTGTGCACCAAGGCACACCTAGCTGGTGGCCTGGTGCTTGGCTATGCTGCCAGCATGGCTGTGTGTGTGAGCTGCCTAGCAAGCACACCACGCATGCATGCGGGCTGCTGCCAAGAATGCTGGGCGCACATACCGCAAGCACTGCTTACGAGCTGCTGCTTTAATGCTAGTGCTAGGCGCAGCCCAGCACGCACAGCCCGAGCACACGCACGCATAGCGTGCTGCTGCTGCCGATGCGATGCTCGTGCTAGGCGCAGCCCAACATGCTACTACCTCGCGCGCAAGGCTCAGCTAGCATGTGCTGCTGGCCTTACTTGCGATGGTGCGGGCTGGCTGCTGCCATGCCTAACATGTGCGGCTGGCCCTTGGCAGGCCTTGCCTTGCACGCATGGTTGGCTCGTCCATGCTAAGCATGCTTAGCTTGTGGCCGAGCCTTTGCCTTGCGACAATGGCTCTGACTAGCCATGCTAGCCATCCCAGCCCTCGATTGGCTAGTCCACTTCGAGGCTAGGATTTTCTCGTGTGATGACTTGTTGTTTGCTTAATTTCTCGTCGATTCCTAAATTCGACTCGACTTACGACACTCGGTTTCCGGCGCTCTAAGCTCGGAATCCGACGTCTATGTTCGTAATACTCTAATGACTCATTTAATCCTTCGGATTAATTCCTAGTTTTGGTTTAGTTACTCGATTGGGTGTGACCCGAAGGGTTCAATCAAGATTAAGCTGTAATATTAATCTTGCATCAATATTACTGATCGGAAGCGGCCTCCAACTAGGCATTCCGATCACTTAACCTCACTGAATAATTAGCTTTCTAATAATTCTGAAACCTCTATCGGTGTAATACACTTGTTCGAAAGACACCATTCCTTTTAAAGTTCCTATGCCTTCGGAGACGTACGGGAGAGGAGCAGAGGCGAAGCCCATATCTGAAGACTGGAAGGTTTTGAAGGAATGGTCCAGCGAAGTCGAAGCCAATTCCTCGGCCGCCTTCTTAGCTTCAGCGTTCCTCTTCAAGGCTTCTTCATCAAAGCTCATCATCATTGAGGAGGGGAGTCTCATTATGAACTCCACCAGCCCTCAAAACATCATGCTCCCGCTGAATTTCGTCAGTGAAAGACTTGGCCTCAACGTTCAGCAGATAGGTTGGAGTCTCCGCTTCAAATTGATTTTCCTTAGTGATATCAAGAGGGGGAGTTTGCCCGCAAACCTCATCCTCAATACGAGGCCTCTTTGAAAGAAGGGGCTCCACTGAATGTCTCCAGGCTTAATCACCGCTCGTCCTCTCTTCCGGCTAGAATATCTTCAGCTGAAGATGTACTCTAATCAACCTCAACATCTTCTTCGGTTGTAGTTACAGGGAAGGAAAAATCACCACCTTCTCCTTGGTCTCCTTCTCCTACTTCTTCGTTTACTTCCTCGTCAGACTGCAGAAGAGGAAAGGGGGGGCAAACCCAGATGAGGGTGCAAAAAAAAAAACAAACAAAAAACAACAACAATAAACAAGCAAACAAAGGAAAGTCAAATCTAAGGGCTTACCGAAGTTTTCAGAAGACGCTCGTTTTCGCGCTCGTCTCCTTTAGCTTCTTAAGCACCCCTCCTCAACAACAGGGGCCAACCCTGGCTCAGCTAAAGCAGCAGCAGCAGCAGTAGAAGAGGCCATAAAAGCTTTGGCAGCAACTCTAGAGGGCCCAGATCCAAAGAAAGGATCACACTTCTTCCACCAGGACTTCTGCCGCCAGTATTCCTCCTCGCTGACGATTGCAAGCTTCTTTGTAGTTAAAGCGAGAGGTCGGGACTACGGCCTGGTAACTACAGGCTTGTTGGAGAATGGCTTTCTCTCTTAGCTGATCCCAAGTCTATCGTAGTTAATTCCAGAATTAGCCTCGGCCAACTCTGAAGAATCTGAACAAAAATAGCAATAAGCAACATAAGAAAAAGCACAAAAAATAGTAAAAAGAAAATCAATTACTTTCTGCCAAGGCCGATGACAGCAAGCATCTTTTCGCTAAAGATGTAGAAGGTGCAAGGTAGGCAATTCTTTGGAACTACAGCCCCTCGACCTTGAGCTCCCTGCACATTTATTCAACCAGACTATTCCATCTGGTCTCTTTCTAATTGGGTGAACTCATCAGGACCGAGATCAGCCATATTGGGATCAGGCTCAAAAAAATACTTCGATGCGCCGAAGTAATTGAGATGTTGCGGGTCTTAGGGCACCCAAACCCAAATCCATTGGCCACGCCAGTCCTTATCCGAAGACTCATACGGATAAGCCGTAAGATAACCTCTTTCATCTTCAATCATCCGCCACCCAGGACCGTGGTTCTTATTCGCTTGAATATTTGCCACCAGTTTGTGGATACAGCGGAAAACAAAAATGTTCGGATCGAATCCGAAGAACAAGCACACCCACAAATAAGACATCAACCTACGGATACTCAAAGGGGTCAATTGGGACAGCGAGATGTTGTACCTATTCAACACCTGAGTGACAAAAGGGTGAAGAGGAAAATGAAGCCCATATTCTAACTAACGGACATATACGCCGATGTAACCGGAAGGAGGAGCATGGATTCGGTCATCTAAAGTGGGCACCCGACACCAATACCCATCTTCTCCATGATGTTGTAGAAAATCTCGAGTTGACCCACAAAATTGTACTCGGGGTTCTTCTCGACCCACCTACCGAAAGGGGGACAACTCATGATACCCCAATTTTGGGCCCCGTCAAGCCACTCCCTCTCCTTCGGCCGAGCAGTGGCCTAGATGTCAGAGCTGCACTTCAGCCAGAAGTACTAGCTTCATCTGAAGCTCTAGGAGGAAGAACCCTGAGTGGGATGGCATCCATTGCAGAGCTACTCAAAGCGCCGGCATCCCTAGTCGTCGACGCCTTAGGATTCTGGTTGCTCAGGGTCGGCATCATTGCCAGAGGGAGATTCCGCCGCTGAATTAACTACGGCACTCCCTCCTCTTCCTCTTCAAGTTCAACCTCGGCCTTCCTTTTTCTTTGGCCGCTGGCCATTATCAAGGTTTCACACGTGACTGAGACACTCAAAAATCAAGGAAAAACAAAGAAAATTCGACAAAAATTACCTTGTACGGACTCGAAATTTACCGATCAATAAGTTCGGAGCAACGAATTCTCATCCCAGTCATCACTTGGGCCGAGTACCGTCTTCAACCCACTTCTAAGGTCCCATTGTTTATACCCGAAACAAATATTATTATATCATTCCTAAGCTTACTGTTTTAGTCATAAGACCCATAATTCATAAATCACATCGTGCGTATTCACGTTAATTCTGTACAAATTAGATCAATTATCGTTAATTAATGTAGGCCCAATTTAATTTTGACCCACCCTTCAGCTGAGGTTTTCATCCCCAACATACATTGGGCATTTGGGCCGACTCAAATGATCAAGTAGTGTATGTTGGTTTGAAATTATAGTTTTCACAAGCAAGTCTTTTATATATACCTAGAGTAGACCTGATCAAACGTCGGGCTGGGTCGAGTTCGGGTCGAGCTGTTTTTTTCTGCCCATATTGTCGGGCCGGGCCGGGCCAAGATTCGGGCCAGAATGTTGCTGCTCAAACCCGTCTCAGTCGAGCCTACCGGGCCATTTCGGGCCTGCTTGTCTAAAGTCATCAATTTTAATTATTTTTTGTAATTTAAAGTTTGTTAGTGCATAAAACTATAAATTTAAATTTTTTAAAATTTTAACTAAACTAGTACAAATAAAAATGTTGAAAAAAAAAAAAAAAAAAAAGAAGACAAATAGACACCCCAACCACCCTCCACCACCAGCCCTAACCACCTCCAACCAACCCAGACCATACCACCCCACCCAGACCCCGTACACCCACACCCACCCACCGTAACCACCACTCCCCCCCACCCAGAATAAAAAAAACAAAAAAATTCATAAAAAAAATGAGAGGATAAGAGGAAAATCAAAATACAGCAAAATTGAATATACAAATTGAACAAATTTAAATCAATTAATATACAAATACAGAAAAATTGAATATACAAATAAAAAAAAAAAAAAAAAAAAAGATCTAATACACAAATTGAACAGACGAATTAAAAAATTTGGAAATAAAAAATCTAATACACAAAAATACAAATCTAATACACAAAAAATTAAAATCTGGAAATTAAAAAATCTGGAACGGACGAACGAACAAACCGACTAACTTTAACCATCGTTGCTCGGTTTCGGTGAAGCCCTGCCCGCATCTCAAAAATTCCGGTGAAGCTCCATCTGCCCGCGTCTCTACAAAATTCCGATGAAGATCTAATATACAAATTTCTACAAAATTCTGGTGATGCATAACGGAGAGAGAAGATGAGAGGAAGAGAGAAGAGGAGAAGAAGAGAGAGAAGAGGGAAAGGAGATCGGACAAACCGTAGAACGAAGAACGAACCGGTGAAGAGGCGCTTCAATGGAGAACTCAGAGTAGGCTTCAATGGAGGAGAGAGAGAGACGCAGCGTTGTGTCTAGTGTGGAAGTCTGGAAGATTGAGAAGGAGAAATGAAAGAACTGAAAACTTGAGAAGGAGAGTAAAGAAGAGGGAGTGAGTGAGTGACGGCTGCTGAAAATCTGAAATGAAAGAGTTAGGCTGTTTACTGTTAGGGTTTATTGGACACCTCATTTTTTTCGGGTTGCGCCAGGCCAACTTGCGGGCCAGACCTGCTACCCAAACCTGTCCAGAATTTTTTCGAGCCTATTTTCCCTTGCCCAAACCCGCATTTTGGGCTCAAAAAATTCTGCCCAAAGTCGGGCAAATCCCGGGCCGGACCGGACCATACTTGATCAGGTCTAACCTAGAGGTGGCATGGCTAGCCCCGTATGAGAGCCAATTAGGTATGGAACAAAAATCATGAGTCCGGCACAGCACAAGAAGCATGCTAGTCGATCATGGTTGTACAAGGTATTCATTTCAAAAGTTGGCATGAGCACCATTGATTGACCCATTTTTTTGCCTAATATATAAAATCTAATTAAAATAACATATAAATTAAAATCTAATTAAAGCTAGGGACCCATTGGCCAATCAGGTAGTCACAACATAGATAGGATTTGGCTTTGAATGATCGATACAATCCAATAAGGCACAACTTTGTCTTGGCCCGTTCCAAAGACAACCCACTTACACTTACACGAGACATATTGCCTCAACATACATATAGATGAAGGCCATGAAGCAAAAGACATACTAACTTAAAATTTAAGTAAGTGTTCAATTTTATCATCTTCGACATGTTATAGCTAGCATGTTTACATATCATGCTAAATCTTACCATGATTTGGCTAATTTATCATTGATCACCAATATTCACCACGAAGTTCCCTGAGGACTCTACCATGAGGAGAGTCAGGATCACCCCTCATCTTATTCCACTTCCATATCTCAACAGCCCTTAGTAACGAAGCCTCGGCGGTATCCTGCTGCTCAGGTGTAAACAGGATCAATCCGGGCTCCTTCCCGTAATACGACGTCGGACTATCCGTAGCCTGCGTTACAGGCTTCCTCGTATCAGCAAATTCCACTTCTGATAAAGGAGATGCCTTGTGGTCTTTGAAGTAGTTCTTGTTGTCTTCCTCTTGGGCTCGATTTTCGGCCTTTCGAGCGTCTGTGTTATCTGATTGGGCCGGCTGGTTTGACACTTTACGCCTTTGTTGAGTGTTGGGCTCTGATGAGTGGCCCACTTCTGTGTGTCCTATCTTTTGGGATGAAGAAATCGGTGGCTTTGGTTGGACTGGTGGATCCGGTTCGTCGGTCGCTGTTCGAGGCGGTGCGGTGGCCGCTTTGAATTTCGCTGCCTCCTCTGAATCTTTTCCCTAAGACAAGAACATAGATTAGAATGTCAATTTTTGTTCATTGCATATGAAATAATTGACAAATTTATAGATATATGTGCATATTTTAAAGAAGCATGGATGTCACAAATACTTCGTATTAAATTATGAAAAACATTTTTTTTAGGTGTATTAAATGGACCAATACAATTATTAGCAAAAATGCAAAGTAAACAAAACAGAAGTTTGTAGGAAAAAAAAAAATAACAATTTGATGCATTAGGAAAATATGATGGGTTTGAGTCTATTATATAAAATCGTACCGTCCTAAAATAAGTCATATGTTTTGACTTAGATCTTGATATATTTTTCATTCTGTCGCATTACAATTGAATGATGTGATAAATCTATGATTCGAAAATATAGATTGTAACAACATGCTTGTATAAGAAGTATACATAGTAGCAAGGCATTTACCTTAAAGTCTTAAACACAATCAAAATACAATACAAATATTAATCTCGGTAACCTATCGACTTAAATCATATATGAACTACTAAAATTTAGGACGGATGTCTATCGGAATATATTGTATCGTTCACCTGTCCAATGTTCATAATAGTCATAAATCATGCTAAACAAGACTTAATCTTAATAATAAAATTAATAAACATAATAATACAAATAGGTAATAGAATTGATATAATTAAATAAATTGAAAACAAAAGATTAAGGACATTATACATACCTTAGGAGGCTTACTATCTTCACTAATTAATCTTTTAGAAAATGCCCAATTTGCCCCTAATTTGTTCTTACTTATTATACAAGCTCTTAATCTCGATTGCAACATCTTTCTAGCTATGGAATTTGGTTCTTCTGTTTGTTTCGATGGCTAGTTTTGATGTTTATAAGTTGAGCTTATAATAAAACATGGAAAATTTTAAAGAAGATAATTAGTGGATTTAATGAATTTCTAGAAGGTGTAATTAAAGATACTAGAAATAATCATGCTTTTGACACGACACGAGAGAGTAGATATCAATCGTGGCATTTCATTCTGGTGACTTCTGGATTATGTCTTACGTATCTTCTAAAATTTCTTGGGCTCCAGAAATTTCCAGAAGATGAAAGCATTCGGCCTGGTCCATCATGTGAATGGGCTTCTATTATTTTCATGTTTTGGGCTTCGGCTTGTATCTGAAAATGCCCTTGTTTGACAATCGTTAATAGCTGATGTCGAACCCAGTTACGTATTTATGAGGTCACCATCAAAATGAATAATATCTGACTGAACATATTTTACAATAATTTTATATTTCTCAATAATTAAATGTTCACTTTTATGCAATATGATGTTCATTTTCATGCCGTATAATATTCATTTTTTTAAAATAAATGTTCATTTTCTTTTTTAATTAATACAAATTTTTGTGTTTATTCAGTTGTATAAAATGTTCGTTTTTATAGTAAATGATGTTCAATTAACATTAGCGTTAATGATGTTAGACATTAACATTTTCTTCATTATTAAAAAATAAATTGTTGATTTATTTAATTGCTATTAACTCATATAATTCAACAAAGTGCAAGATATTCATTCAAGAGAATTGAACAAATCAAGGTATTTCACTTGAAACTTAAAAAATGTTGATTAATAAGCAATAACATTATATGTTCATTTTTATTAACAACTGAAATGATTAGTTATATAATATTCGATGTACAATCCTTTTTTTTCAGTTTCATAGTCTCTTTATTTTACTCTTATATTATAAATGTTAATTTTTATACATTGCAATGTTCATAAATAAATGTTCATTTTTTTTCTAGTAAATGTTCATTTTTGTTCCATGACTCCAGCTAGAGCTAAGTGGGCGCAATCCTAGCTAAAAATTTGCGCTTGTTTGATAAATGGTTTTTTCATTGATTTTTGGCTTTTAGCCTTTTCATTTAGTCAAACAGTCAAAAATTTTGTTTGATTAATGGATTTTTCAGCCAGCTAGAAAGTTACTCCCTCTGTCCCTATTTTTTTTGTCCCATTTGACTTTTCACGGTCTCCATGCAAGTCTTAAAACGTATTTATCTCCATTTTTATATGCGAAAAAATTATAAAAATTTGATATTAATAATATATACAACGAGACAAATCAAACAAGATCCCACATAAATATATTATCTCTTATAGATTAATAGGATTGTATGGTCAAAGTTTGACCCATATATTACCAATAGAGCAAAAAATTAGGAACGGAAGGAGGAGTTTTTAAGCTAAAATGAAAAAGGAGTAGCTTTTGACTATTTGATGTAAAAAAATAAAAAAAAAATAAAAAAAATAATAATAAAAAAAAAGGTCAATGTAAATAATCAATCAAACCAGGAAGTATGTGTTTGTTTTGTGAGTGAGTACCTCTATATTACATTGCTTTATTCGTTAAGAATAAATCTCAAGCAACAATCAAAGTGAAATTTTTAAATAGTGCCAAAATTCAAAGTGTAACCAACTGTTAAAAAAATTATAATAATAATAATAATAATCAAGTTTAACCATTATTTCAAAACATATTCCCTCTGTATTTTAGTAAGTGTTACACTTTGATCGGCACATATTTTAGGCAATTTTATTGACTTAAATAAAATAAGAGGTAAGTGGGGTAATAGGAGTATTTTAAAAATAAAATAAAAAATAAAAAATAAATAAAAAGGTGGAGTTAATAGTTTATTGAAAAAGTAATGAATGTGAAGAAAAAAAAATAGTAATGAGTATGGGTGGGGATTATAAAAGAAAAACATATAATATTAAAATGTAATTTTTTTTCCAAAAAAAAAGTATAACGCTTATTAAAATACGGCCGTATTTAATAAGTGTAACACTTATTAAAACATGAATAGGAGTAAAAATAAATATACTTTCCATTCAACAAAAAAAAATAAAATTAAACTTACTTTAAATTATTTTATAGTCATGTACACTGCTGGATACAGTTCATAAGAGATTATGAATGGCTTTGATGATGTTTTTGGTGGGCCAATTCATTACAAATCTACTCAAACTTAATAAGGTCAACCAAGCTAGCTAGCCCAGTTCGTACAAGGCTCATAAACTGGAATTTAACCCACGTGGCCACAAACCATCCTCTAAATGGGCCCATTTAGGTCGAGATTTTACGGGCCGCTACCGGGTAGCCCGGAAACCGTTTAAAATTACTCTTAAAAAAAATATTTCTACTGTAAATATCTGATGCATGTTCACAACTGAAATGACCAACCAGATGTTATTATTCATTTGGATGTTTGAATATAAACCCAAAGGTCCAAATATGAAACGTTGCTTTCTTTCATCGATATTTGTTCTCTTTTCAGTTTTTCAAAATTTATGATTTTTATATTTGGGTAGAATTTTTATGTATCTCTAAATTTTCCCACTTCTTTTTCATACTTAAAATTATCAATTTATCACTCATCAAAAGTTTGAACGTTTATTGTGATGGACCTTGATCACAATGAAAATGGGCTTAGCTTTTGAGCCACCCGATTTAATAGTCATACTTTTCTGTCATGACTGTTTATTTCATGTTAAGCCATGATCACAATGACAATGAAAATGTGCTAAGATTTTAGACAATTCAGTTTAATTGTCACACTTTTCTTTCACGACAGTTTATTTTATTTTAGGCCATGATCACAATGAAAATGTGCTTAGATTTTTTACCAGTCCGAATAATTGTCACACTTTCTTTCATGATCATTTATTTCATGTTGGACATTACTACATTAGTCATGAAAGTATGAAACCCATAATCATGCAATTAGTGAAAAGAAAATAAGGATGTGATTTTTTTATTTTATTTTTTTTTGACGGGAAGGATGTGATTAAAACACGTCAGGCAATATTTGCAAACAATAACCTAATTCGTATTTGCGGATGATATAAAAAGAGTATGATCACAATGAGAAGATTGAAAATATGTCCGCCGCTTCTATTTTTGTACAACTTTTGACAAATTTTCACAACATACAAATATAGCAAAAAAAAAAATTTGCAAAAAGGAAATTAATGTTATGATCAAGATACTCAAGCCAAAAATCCTTTGATAATTCAGCAAATTGCCAAAATAACACCACACTATCTACTTTTACAACAATGCCCTAATTATAAATAAATAACAAATCCGAAAAAAAAAATTAACTTAACCCCACAAAACTTGAAGCCTATTTCGGCAGGGGTAAAATTGGAAAAAGAAAAGAAAAAAAAAAACAGGACATTGGAAATAAAGATAAGGGGTAGTAGGAAAGGGTAAGATTATGTTGTTGGTCCTAGTCAGAGAAAGGGGTATTATCGGAAAACATAAAATATTCTCTCTCCTAAAAAAAAACTAAGCATAAACAGAGCCATAAGACAAAGCCATCAAAAGCATAGCCGCTTGTTCAACTTCACCTAATTTATCTCTTAATTTCTCAGCACTTTGCCTAATTCCTCCAGAAGCCATTACTTTAATCTTCAATGGTGGCATTCCATGGCTTCCATTACTGCTACTTCCACTACTATTACTACTGCTTCCACTACTTTTGTTGCTGTTGTTGCTACTGATGTTTTTGTTGATCTTCTTCTTTTCTACTTTGCCTTTGTCGAGTCCGAGAAGCGCCCTTCGTCGCTTGTGGTATTTGATCCCGCATGCATTGCATAACGTCTGCGGATTACAAACTCAAATGATTAATTACATTAACACGACTCGGTAATGAGAATGTGAAAACAAGAAAATGGGTTAGTCTTACTTTAGGACCAGCAGGCCCGCCTCGCCATAGTGGGGTGGTGGTTGTTTGACAATCCGTACATCTTTTGAGCAACTCGCTGCTACTACTTTGTGATTCTGATGCTGAACACGGCTGCTGTAAATTTAAACACAAAATTAAAATTAGAACAACAGTAACAAATTACACAAAATAAACCATCACATTTTTAATTAATCATAAAAGGGTAAATTAAACGACTATAAAAAACAATCCTTACCTCTTCTTTTAGATCTAACATCATGATTTTAATTTTGAATTTGAGAGAGAAGAGGGGAAATGAGAAGAAGAGAAAAGAAAATGAGATGAAATTGAAAAAAGGGAAGAGTGATCAAATGAAGAGAAAAGAAGGGGGGAAATGGAGAGATGATCAAAGGGAAAATGGCGGGATAAAATGGAGAGAGAGAAGAGGAGGCGGCGGGCGTGGAGAGAAAACAGCGGAAAGAAGAAAGACAGAGTGGGTATTTAAACAAGTGAAGGAGCACTGTTTATTTTGCTGTTGGTCGCCGAACCCTAGCATGCTCTCTTTTTAATTGAAGTACTTACCAAATTACCAGATTACCCTTGTCATTTTTAATTTTATTTTTAAGTTTACGTTAGTTTATGATACTTGTCTCAATTTATTTTTCACAGTTTTAAAAAATATGTACCCACTAATCCACTATATATAGTGTACCTTCTTTTGTTCTTTGATTATTTGTTATAACATTATTGTGACTTTTACATTGTTAATACAATCCTTTGACTATTTATGGTGATACTCGGTATATACATAAGGAACAAATTAATCATGTGAATATTGTGATTTTTACATTGTTGTTTGACTACCTAGGGTGATATAGAGTACTTTGTATATACATAAGAAACAAAATAATCATCTGATTTATAGTACGTAGTTAGTCACGTTAGATTTGTCTTGATTTATACTTCGTTTATTTTTTTTTTTCTTTTTGGTAAGGTGAATTTCCTTGCAAGTAGGGGGAAATTGGGATCCCACTTGCTTGGGGTGAGAATCAAACCCCTATCAAAGAGGTTAAAGGAGGGTCTCTAACCATTTAGGCTAATGATGATTCTAATGTAGTCTTATGACTTTTGACTACCACAATTTTTTAAAATGGACGTTTGAGATTATTTGTTTTTTTTTTTAATTAGTACTTTTAATTAAAAAAAAATATTATTTTAAATATAT